CACACCCACACCAAGTCCTGGGACCAAAACACCGAGTTTTTTTGGGGGGTGAAAGCTGGAGCCGCGTGTTTTCAAGCCAAGGACAACGGAGATGGTGAGGCCAGTGGATTGTTGGTCAACGTGGAGCATTGAGTCGTTGGACTATCCATGACAATGTTCTTTGTGATGCCTTTGTGAAAGTCAACGACCAGCGGCCCAACGACCCCTGCAACCCCAGACCTGGAGACGAGCAGACGAGCATCAGCTGGAGCAGAGGGACCCTTCACAGGTAAACCATGGTAAACTCTAAGAAACAGTGATGATGAGATATGATGATCGTCTAGGATATTACTTTTGATTGATTGCCTACCCTCCCTCCAACAAACATGGAAGCTGACCAGGACCCATTTGTAGAGGAAAACAGTCTTTTTTGCGTAGCCCACGCAGTGTACATCCTAGAGGTTGTGTCAGGGAGTGACTCGGGGAGTGTACATTTCTTGACCATTTTTGCGCAGGTGACCCTAGACGAATTTATCGACGGAGTGCTCCGATGCAAAGGACCTGCCCGGGCAGTTGATCAGGCGGAGTGCCCTTGCGACGGAACTCGACGTGGATCGGGATGGTGAAACTCTAACATGGACTCATTAAACCACTCGACCCTAGCCAGTTCCATGGATGAGTGCTTCCAGTGGTTGATTCTGCAATGGTAACAGGACTGTTTTGGTGAGAACACTCTTTTTGCCAGGTTGCCATGCACGCAGAAATCCGCCAGATCGACGCCAAGATCATGAAGGTGCAGATTGGTAGCAAACACGTTTGCCGGGAACGGGACTGCACCAGCCCAGCGCAAGCGCGTAAAGGTAAAGAATGTACTACACTCCCGAAAACTAACATAGACCCTGACAATGGTAACCTGGAAGATTGTTTTCCTCTACCAGCCAATAGCTTTCAGGATCCATGCTAGTTTTTCGGGAGTGTATATATGTTATGTTTATGTCCGATGGTTCAGCGGCAGATTGCAGCAAATGTACATCAAAACTTGAAGTCAGTTTTGTTGCAGTGTGTTCGATTGGTCTTCTGCGAGTGGGGCCGGGCGATGTGATGGACTGTCGCTGTTTGAGGTCGAGGGAGAGTTCTTTTGGGTTCGCGGTGTATCAACGCCGCCCGTACGCGCCTGTCATTTGCGTCGTGTTTCAGTGGTCGGCTGGGGTGGGCAGCTGGTAATGACGTGCCTGTAGCGATGTAAGGATGCAGGTATACGTCCTCCACTGCGTTTTCTTTTGTCTATTGCAACACACTTTTTTCAATTACAATTGCGTTTGAAACACACTTAGCTTGCGTGTTGAGTTGCAAAGTGTTGCGAATCATAATCACAAATAATATATATTATACTATCATGACAGAACTTTTGGCTTCACTTTTGGATGGCTGCAGATCACTTCACATATATATATAGATACTGATCGTATGTATGTAATATCACTTATATATTATATATATATATCATCAACATGTCCCGAACATGTTGCTCGCACTCCCAACAACAACAAACTTTTTCCTTGGGAAAACGTGGGGAAATGTGATGCACCGGCCACGACACTTCTAAACCAAACCTGTTGCAAATACAAAAGCCAAACAATCCACAGACAAGAAACCAGCCGAAAGAAAGCAGGCATCCAGTTGTAGGGCGCTCAGAAGGTTTTTTCCGGCCGGTCGCGACTCGCCAACGCAGGTGGCGAGGCTGCTGACCGCCACCAATGCGAGCCGGTCCGTGAGTCAGTTTGGAGAACTGGCCACTCGGCCCGGTCTGCAGTCGGCCACCGGCGAAGTCCGGCGAAGTCCGGAGCAGTTGAAGTTTGTTCTGAGTTTTAAAGAAGAGGTCGGTAACAAATGACCAAGTGAGCTTGTTTTCGGCGCCAGCCAATTTAAACATACACGAATGTTTGTGTTGAAGGACTTGTCCTCAATCAAATCATCGTCAATGTAGTGCTTGAGTGTCCAGTGATGCGTGCAGGCCAATGCTGCCCGCCTCATCTATACAATGCAATATGTATATTTATACATATTTATAACATGTAGTATATATATATATATATTTTGTTTGACTTTGCTGAATTCATTGGATCCAGCTTTTGAGAAGAAAACAACACACCTAGGACGTGAGCCATCACTTGAGGGCATTCAATCGTTGCATGACCAGATGCTCGGCTTCAGGGGTGTCAGGGTTGACCGAAGGACTTAAAGGGTAAAACACATGCAAACACCTTCTGACTAGGCATATTAACCTTCGTGCGGGTTTGTTGATCAGGGGTTCATGAGTCGTTTGGTCCAGCGCTCGAACTTGCCATTTGTGGCGATTCGTTCGGATGTTTGAAGAGGGGTCCAATGAGCGATCCGTTCCGGGCACGGGATGGAGTTCGTGAACCTCGGCTTTGGTTCGGGACTTCCAATGCGAGGGAAGTACGTGGATAACGTGCAAGACCTTTCGTGCGGGTGGGTAATCTCACTGAACATAGACAAGTGGAGAACACATAACATCAATAATTAACCATTGGAACCTTTTTTGGTGCGCAAATGCAGGATGGAACCGGTGTTTCAATCTACAGTGGTTTCAGAGTAGATGGCACAAACCTAAAGATGTCTTTCAGCTTGTCTTATATAAGCAATCGCCATCGCACGTGCAACAACTAATTTAGTAAATCTGGGTCGTGAAATTCAGGGGCTAAAACCAGGAAAAGCATGCAGGGCCCCCCCTTGCTGAGCGACCTTGCTGAGTCATGTCCTTGACAGTGTGGCAGACGCTCGTATGGTTTTGCTCATGTGGGTCCAAACCTCTCAGGATTGCACCATCCACTCTGTGTGTCCACTGTACCAATTGAAAGCCTGTTTTTACATGTTTTTACACCGCTTGGTGTGTGCCTTTGCTGAGGACACAACAGCGATACTACCTGGTCCAGGTGATCCAACCTTCAATTTTTTTAAGCCTCCAGCGATACCCGCTTAAGCGAGGCGCATGAAAAGAAGATGGGCAGCTCAATGCCACACAAAAGCAACAGATGGTTTTTACTTTTTGTGGATATGTTCAAACGTGTTCAAGTGTTTTGACAGACCTCCCAACTCACTGTGTGGCACTGTGCTTTTGAGTCGACAGACCTGGGCCCTACGCTGCACAATAGTGATGTGGCTGCCGAACAGCCTGTTTCACTATATATATTATATGGTTTCACCAAATGGCTTCTTGAAGTTGCCTGCTACCCTGATCAATCTGGGAGACAATTTTTAAACTATTTGGCCGCCTCGGGTGTGGGGACCTAGCACTGGCAAAGCCACTGGCTGGGTGTCCAAGCCAGGTTACAGCAAGCAGGACTCAGGCAATGTGCTTTCAATGTCAGCATGCAAAAGATGAATCTGTTTAGATCGCCCAATGAAGGGCTCCAATTGTTTCATGCCTGACCTGCCCTGTAAAGTAGCCTCCCCCATTCCCCAAGGAGTTGTTCAACCGGTTCTTCATGGTGGGAGAATGTGGAGATCACAAATGGGCTTCCGCACATTGAAGTTGATGATCCCTGTTGGCACTCATGAGAGACACAAGGCAAGCCAGCCATTGTGCTTTCCAAGGATTTCTTTAAAACATAAAGGCGTCAGGGGACAGTTGTATGTACACCACCAGCGGATGTTAGACGCGTTAGGAACTGGGGGAGGACAACTTCGACAAGATCTGAGGTTTTGGATCTATCCAAGGCCCATCGGAAGGCTTGCACCTAACAGGGGCCAATGGATTTTTTGAAGGTCCAGCGTTTTAGAGCAGAAGAGCTATTGACGAACAGTGTAAGTGTTTTCAGGTCACAGATCAAGAGACATAACATATAATGGTTTGGGGCTAATTGTAACTTATTAATACTTATGGGATTATGTTTACGATTTTGTTATATATATATATATCACGGTATGAAAATAATATTCGATCAATCCAAGGGTTGCAAGACATGACTAAGAAACATGCATCCCCGCTTGTATCAGTGACCATGTTTTCTAACACTCCGTGTTCACTCCGGGTGTTGATCACAACCGGCTGGAACTTCGTCATTTTTCCAACCTCCCAGCCTCACCAGTAGCACCAGCCTCAAATGGCGAGGGAGCGCAGAGTAGAGGGAGCGCCGAGCGCTGAGCGCCGGGAGAGAGATGAACAGCGGAGGGGAAAAGGTGGAGTGGCTTAGCTTTTTTGGGGGGGATTGGTACCGGCTGATATGATGTGATAGTGGCAACGGGTTTGATATTTTTTCTGGTTGACACTGAAGAGGGCAGTTGGAGCCACCAGTTTGTGCAAGGACTTTACGATGAAGTGCAGCCGGGGGTGGATTCTGGACATGTGATATTAAGGGGCCTGAGTTCAGTTCCTGGTTTGGCAAAGGTTGGAGGACCATCTCACCACCAAAAGGAGTTAATCAACCATCTCATTGTCATGCTGGTGTTGTTATAGAATGAAACTAATTCTTGAGCCATACACCATTGTCAATCATTGTCATCAATCATCCAATTCAGTCCAATTTCAGATTTCAGTAGGCGGACAAAGATGGACACAAAAGGCTGAAGGCCCCAGAAAGATACAGGACTGTACATACATTTGCTCAAGTTGGTTGACAACAAAGAGTTCAAAGAACCAGTCCTACCCTTTTTTTAGCACGCTGTCGCCGGCACCTCGTTGTTTTTCCTTTGGCCGTCTATTGAGCGCAGTCACATTCAACTCGCTGCTCGCTTTTTTGGCTGTTGATGTCGTTGGGCTTCATCCAATGCTGAGATCGCTGAGATGCTATCAGCTATATACAATCGATCATGGGTGGGTGAAAGGGGGGTATGGGTGCCATACATGGAGTGAATGGGCAAGAGCAAACTTGACTGTGTGATTGAACAGCTGTGTGGATTTGTGCTCATCGTTTTGTTTGGGGCATCATAAACCACATCATGGGTTTGGTTGGTTCCTGTACCTCCAGGGGGGGTGCATTCTTCTCGCCCAAGTGCAGGGCTGGACGTCCGGAGCGTTCTTTGCGGAGCGTTCTTTGCGGAAGCTCCTCGCGCGGACGCCGGAGAAGTTTCGGATGGTTGGATGGAGGCAGACATGAGAACGAATGGTTGCCTGAGTGGTGACTTAAGGATCTTAAGGTGGTTGAAGATGGTTTTAGTCTTGTTCAATCTTTACTTGGAATGATTGAACCCACTGCTCGTAACATTTCTCAAGTCAGTTGAAACCATCAACCAGTTGCTTTTTGAGGGAGTGGTGTTGGGTACACCATGTTTTTTTTGGATCGTGAAGTATGTTTGGGGTCGGCGCTCGTCGCAGAAAGGACATGGAAGGACTTCTTCTTGGGGCGCAACTTTTTTGATTGGGGAGGACAAGTCCGACTGCATCCCCAATCAGGAGCATTCTGGCGTTCCAGCTTGCTTCAACCAGAAAGAGGTGAATACCACTAGAAAAAAAGGAATGGAGGTGTTCATGAAATCGCATGTTGAATTGTGCCCAACAATCCATTGTCCCCAGACAGACATGTGTGATCATGTGTGTTTGTCTCCGCAAAAGTCGAACCATATCAACCACCAGTTGGTGATTGTGCACTCTACTCTGAAGCCACACTATACACACATATAATATATATATATATATATCAAATATATATATATGCATAAATAACACCAAACGTGTGTTTTACTTTGCTATTGCTAGAGGCCCAATCTGTGCTTGCTGGGTATGGAATGTACACGACTTGAGCAACAGAGGGCGCAAACAACACATAATCTAAAATTCTAAAAAAAACATGGCACAGATGGCAAAACTGGCAGGTGCACACTTGGCAGGGCTCACTCGACCGGAAAAGGAGGATACATTCTCATTAGGCCAAGCTTTGGGGTGAGGAGGGTGTCTTTGCCTCCGGGGCAGTTGGAGGTCTAAAACAGCTGCCGAGCTCCAAGACCAACAGCTGCCGAGCTCCCATGTGGTAAGTATGCATGGTCGCAGTGGCAGAGTGGTATGTGCAACCCCAACTTGTCTCTGGCCCGTACACTCCATGCTTTATGGCATATATATCCCTACATTGACACCCTAAACACACCCAATATAGGCAAGTATGGCATACATGGAGCCTTTGGGTACCACGCATATTGTGTGTGTGCCTGATCCGAACTTAGGCAGAAGCCTTGAGAAGTTCTCCAGAAGGCCTGCACACCACTCTCGAAAATGGTGTCATTTGATTTGTTGAAAGGGATGGGCGAAAAGCTTTTTGTGACGTTTTTAAATTAACATGGGTTATACAATAGAGTTGCAGGAAGCGCAGAACACAAAGGGAGTCCCGAAAGGGATGTTGCCCTTTTAAAGCTCAGCGAAACATCCAATCCAGATTGCAGAAACTGATTTGCTTGGTAGGACAATCTTCAGCCGTTGGGGAGCGCAAAGGCAAAGCAAAAGGCCATGTTTCGCACGGCGGTTTCAGTCATCTGAAGAGTGACACTAAAATATGAAAATCAAACGCGACCCCCCTACAAGAGTCTAATATTCTAATATCCATTTACTTCTAATTTAGCCTTCACTTCCCTTTTTGTCTTTGGATGTTCGAAACTTGAAGTTTATTGTCACTCTTAGGGCCGACCTTGCTTTCTTTAGCATGCAAAAAAGGCAAAACCCCTGGGTAGCCTCCTGTTGGAACGGATCAACCACGCACAGATAGTGGAATATCATTCATGAGCTTTCTAATAGTTGTGATTTCCTTTTCTTTTATTGCTACTGATAGTTAGCCAAATCATTGACCTACAGAACCAGTTTAGGAAAGCCTAAGGTTGTGGCTTTTTTGGCCAACAGGGGGCACAGAGAAGAAAGCTGGAGGCCCCGCCCCGACAAGCCAACGATTCCACCTTGCCGGGATTCTTTGAAGTAGGGTTTACAAACATGCGTTAGCACCGAAGGAGGACTTCTGAAATGCTACACAAACAAACAACAAATCAATACTGCATCATAGGGTTGATTGGTACTTGTACCACCTGTCAAGCCATCCGAGAAAGTTGCACTGGCATGATATCCAGTTCCCAAGTGGTTCATGATGTGTTTTTGTTTCTTTTTTTCCCGATGCAGTGCTAGCATGGAGTTGCAGACACCTGGATACATGTTTTACTGTACCCACGGACAACAACTACATTGTAACTACATCACGATTATGAAGGGGTGAGAAGCCGAAAACATCTCACTACATACCCTGCGCATCAAATGACGCGACTCGCGACTCTTGAATGTTTGGTGATTACAGGGCTAGGATTTGGCTTGATTTGATATGCCTTGTTCATTCGTCATGCGTGCGCGGGTGTGTGTGTGTGTGTGTTTGTGTGTGTGCGGTTTAGAGCAGCAGTGCAGTGTCCACTATCGATCCTGAACATGGCTGCTAGACTTCTACTGCTTTGTGAGTTCTCCCGATCTCAAACAGCGGAGGTGCCTGCCAACACTCCTCGCCGTCTTGCAAGTGCAAGGTATCACTAGTCATCAGAAGCTCTAATTTGGAAAGGCCAAACATTCCTTGGTCATTGAAGTCCAAGCTCATACAACCATATATGGTCACTGCGCTGGTTGTTGTTTCGTGTCGGTGTATTCTGTGCAGGTTCCAAATGCAATAGAACAGCTTCTCAAGAGTAATTTGCAGTAATACTTCTTCACCGCCAAGCCGCTAGCTTTTCAAGCGCACTCAGTAGTTGCGTTTTCAGAATTTCTTTCCTTTGAGAGTCCTTCAGGTTCTATACATGCATAGGTACACCTTATATAAATGCAAAACTGGATTCGCACTGGAGCCCCCTCCTCTCCCTGAGCTTTGTTGGCAGATCTGCAATATTTGTGTCGGCGGTGTGAACTCTTTATTCTAGTGACCCTAGTGCTATACTTGATGGAAATCAATGCCAAGAGACTCAGCGGCCTTTGACCAGCAAAGGGCACCATCAGATCCCTCCAAGATTCATTGAGTAACAGAAATGCATGGAAACCCGGGCTTATTGTGTTTAGGTACTTCATCTATAGACAAAATAGGTTCGTGACGCTGTGAATCTCTAGCTGATTTATGGAGTCCATGGTGGCTCCACACCTCCTTTACCTCCCACACGGTCTGGGGACGTGTGCCGGACTGACCCCGAGCCATTTGATGGAGCAACGCAAAAGAAAGCACTCCCGACCGACTTAGAAGCCTAACGCTACATGTCCCACGTTCAAAGACGTTTTTTTTGACGAAGTGATACTTGAAACAGAAAGACACATATCACAAATATAATACCATGATATACCATGAATCGGCCTGAAAACCTGGAAAGAATGGCAAGACAAACACAGCAGAATACACACTATTTTCTTTTGGGGGGGGTTGTGTCATGCATATACAACCACAGGAAGCCCACATCACCCCGCCACCGGCCCCCACTCCGCAACCGCCAACGATAACGATGAAGTTCACACGAAACCACCCGGTGACTGAGGGAACCGCGGGCAACTATATGTGTATATTATTTACTGTATATATATAGATATATTCATACGTCTACTATATATATGTATATTGAAGTGTGTGTGTGTGTGTTCAGATGATATATATATATATATACATGTTGATTTATACACACTTTAATTCATCAAGAGGATGGCTCAAAACCTTTAAAAAGGGCCGCTTCACCCACCTCTCATGTTTACCTGGCTCTCCAGAAGAGTGTTTTTGACACCAAAATTTGGGCTTGGATTTGATTGAAGACCTTTATATATACATTTATAACTTTTCGGGACCGGCTCATTCTGAGGAAGGATGATATCTGCTTACTGTACTTGTTCCTTTCTTGGACAGGCCAGCCGCCAGTTCCACAGGCAAGGCCGCAAGCGCAGCGCAGGTTTGTCTCATCCTCGCTTGTGTTTGTTGGATTCATGAATTCAGACCTCAGTTTAGGTCGCTCGCCATCGCCTATGGCTAATATCATGGAGAGGGTGATGGAGACAAAGAGGGTGGAAAACAAACACAACGTCAAGCATGTGTTGAAAGTCGCAGAGCAAGAGCCTTTGGGAGGTGATCATCCCTATAGATAGTGCCGCAAATATGACCCCCGTTGAAGTGGCTTTGCTTGTCCACTGTTGGATGATGGTGTTTCTTCCGCTCACTGTCATTTTCCAGCCTTACACTCATGCTCAGCACTTGGCATCACTTAAACACTTCGGAAGGGTTTGTTTCTCGTGGGCTGGTGTTGTTCTACACTTGCTCCTTTGAGCTTCGGGTTGTGTCAAGATTGCTGACTAAGTCGGTGGAATGATAAGCCTCCAGGCTTTTCACCCTCATGTAGGCTGTGCTGTGCTGTGCGTGCGTGCTTTGGTGGGATGTGTTCCAAAAATGGATGGGGACAAGGACAAAGGGAATGGAGAGGAAAAGGAATGGGAAAGGAAATGGAACAGCACAAGGAAGAAGAACAGGAAGAGAAAGAGTAGTAGGAGAAGAAGAGAAGGATGAATCAATGAAAGGAAACTTAAAAAAAGAAGAGGACGAAAAGGAGAGAGGTGGGAAGGTAGTCGAGGCAAGAGTGCTCAAGGGCAAGTCCTGAGTCCTGCGGCTAATCTACAACATGCAAGCAACATGCAAGACAAACACACATACAGCACATAACACACATAACATATATAAGCAATATGTACACCACATGTCGGGTGAGTTCGATACCCTACTGAGAGAAACAAGACAGAAGGAGAGACACACCTATATACTGAATATATATATATATATGTATAGACACATACTTTCGCAAGTGTAGGGGAGGATCACATGCACCAAGACCGCCCAGACCAGGTCACCATAAACTGTTCCACTTCACGTGTTGCTGACCGTGCCGCGTTCGGAAGGTGTTGAGCCTCTTCGGCGAGAGCTCGGGGATTTTCGCTGCTTGGCCGGGGCCTCCGTCTTCGGTGGGGTCTCGGCCATGCGATGTCATACTCCTGATGAGCTGTCCCAAAATCGTCAAGCATACGATATGGAACAGTTGCCGTGCGGGAGACATGGTTATGGAGACATGATCATGCAGATTGGTTAGGTCATGGTTATCTTGCACCAGACCAGCCTTCGCCAGGAAGGGGGCCAAAGTGACTTGCGCTCTTCACAAGGGCGGGGGTCCCTCAACTGGGCGGGCTTCCGGTTCGGGAATTTGCAGATCTCAAGATTTGGAGTAAGTAGCTGTATAGCTGAGTAACGCCAGGTCTTCTTACTCATTTAGCCGGGTAGAAACAGAAAGCGTTTGGCAACTTTCACTGCAGCTGGCCCCTGGCCTGGAGTCTTCTGTCATCGGCATGTGGAGGCGAAGGAGAGAAAGTGGCTCGAGCTGCCCGAGAGCTTTTAGCACGGAGGTGCGGAACGGAGGACCATCCTGGAGGATCTTGTGATTTCTTAAGGAGTCTGTGGTTGCCCCGGCCCTGACCCTGACTGCCAGGACTCAAGACTGAAAAACAGGGCCCATCTTTAAGGAAACCCCTGACCCTGACTGCCCCGGCTGGGTAGACTGGTCTACTTTCCTTCTTCCAGGGGGTCAGAATGCCTGGTTGCGGTCGATACTATGACGATCGCCTTTTGAGTGCACCGATGCATCAATGGTGGGTCCCAGATTTGGTATTTGAAGAATGCCAGGAGCCCCCTCCACACATCATGGAAAAGTCTGTAGATTCAGACCGAAAGCTAAGCAAGCGTTGAATTGCTAGACCTTATAAACCTGACACTGCAAGGCTGGGCTGGGACAGCAGGCTGACCTGGTTCAAAGTGACACTTTGAGATACCTTGATATCTCCGTTTGAGGTCCTCTGCCCCATATTTTCCAAAGGTCTTGGATTCAATTGAGCTGGACATTCTCCGGGGAGGAGGGAGAACAGATGATGGCTCAAAGATACCCAAACGGATGCATCCTTATGGGGTCATATAAATAAAACATGGAGTCCGCAGATGTCAAGAGTGTATCCCAAAACATTGCACTATAGGTTCAATTCTTTCTGTATACATTCCAATTCAGCATGGAAGTGGACAAGCCTTGCTTTGTACGTAGAGGTGCATCGCAGTTCCATTCCCCTTGGCCATTGTGCAGGGCCATGTTGCTGGGCTGGAGCGTTCCTGAACCTAATGTTTTACATCATATCCTTGAGGGTACAATCCCTACAAGTTCCAGTTTCCTTCCGCATTAACTTAACCCAAAACTGGAGGATGCACATCTTGGTTTCATTTGAGCAATATGTCTTCCAGAAAAGGTGACAGTGAGGTTGGGAAAATAACTAGTTTCACCTGCATTGGCCAGCTTCGAACACCGCTCCTTCACTCGCGGGAACACACCAGGAACGGATGTGAAGAGCACGTCACCTACTTCAGCCTGGGCACTGAGCCCCGCCTAGATGAGCTGGGGACGTGGGAGCCTTAGAGCTGCATTTTAGAGCTCTACGAGCTGCATGAAGAGCTTGAGCGAGATGTGAAGGTGTCCAAAGAGGCGACACCCGTTCCATTCGGGTGTACCTCTGAGAATTAACAGAATCATAGAGAAACAGATCGATTGCGTGGGGGGGTTGTTAGGGAGTGTCCAAGCCACATCCATGTTAGGGTCAAAGTTTCCACTTTCTCCAGTCTCCAGCTGGTGGCGGCTGTTGCGTACCCACCCAATCGGCGTCTTCACGCAAGTGCTTTCGTCCCGACCCCACGGAGCAAGAGTAGCGCGTTCGAGTGGCCAAGTGCCAAGCTACATGAAAGAACAGGACCCTGACAGTCAGGCATGGACTGTTTATCACTGGCTTATTCTGCTCCACTTGCGACTAGTGGAGCAGCCTTATTTTGCACATACTTGTTAGGGCAAAGGGTGCTTCTGACATGGATTGGACCAATTTCTGGATCGAATCATGTCCGTCTTTGCGAGTCTTTGCACATGATTGTCAAAGTCTTCAAAATCGTCTCAGTCCTCGAAGTCGCTGACCCGTTGCGCAGAAGAACCACGTCGCTGGCAGGTGCAGAGGGACATTCGATGTGGCACTTCTGGCACGCTTTCCGAATTGCAGACGCAGAGGTCTCGTGAAGAGATTTCCAGGACGCAGAGGTGCCTTGGATCTGTAGTATGGATCAAGTTGTCGGATCAACCCGGCATATCCCGGCTCACGTTGGCTTGGTTGGCTTGGTGGGAAGATGTTGGAAGGCCTGAGTAAACCTGGGCCAAAGCCAGGAGTCACACAGGAGTGCTTAATGGAGGCTAAGGGTGCCCATTATCCACTCACTTAGGGACTATAAGCACCACCCGTTTGTGACTCCTGGTTCAAGATGTGAACTTGGAATTGTCATTCACTTGGCTCCCTATCATTCCCCTCAGGGCACGATATTGCAACAGGGTGAGCTGTCATCATTGGCGAGCAGAAAAATCCTCAGCCCTCCGCAAGGGTATATACAAGGCTCGCAGAGAAAACATGGAACATATATACATATATAATCATATATATATACTATGTTTCCAGGCTTCGCAAACAATGTTGCCTTGTGACCAGGAGTGTTCGAGGGAGGCCTACTTCTTCATTCTTTTTTGTTTTTATCCACGAGTATTGGAAGTGCATGGTCAATGGCATGGCGCCTTGGTAAACTGATTGTCTCCACGAACAGCCGGTTGTTCAATGTTTCTGGGAGCGAGGGCAAGATACGAAAACAGCTCGAGTGAGATTGAACGCATCCGGTGTTCGTCGGATTGTGTTAAAAAACAGTCAACCCATGCAACCAGCAGGTGCACATTGTGAACTGTATTAAGCCATGGCGCCGCTGAAAACCCGCCAATTGCCAAATGCTTTCTTCACGGTTGATCCAATCCACCTAGTATGTCTACAGGTCTAGTTTGGATGGATTGGACATCATGAATCGTATATTCGAATTATCAATCCACCTGTTATGTCTTCATCCTGGGTTGGATGGATCGATGGGGTCTAACAATGTCCATCAGTATTCCAAATCATGAATTCTTCTATTAGACACCCATCAGTTCAAAGTGATTGGCTTATTTCAGCGAACCTCGCGCCAAAAACCATCAAAAAAACCTATACACCGATATATCAGGATACCCTTCTGCTTGGCCAAACAGGTGTTTAAGTTTAACAGGTGCTTTTAACACGTGTTTTCGGGGGGGGTCCAGCTGGGTGCAGACGTTGCTGGGTGCCAGGTGCTTTTGGAACCCCCTGCCCTGGCTGGGCGCCAGATTCCGTTAACTACGCGGGCGACGCGAATCGCGGCAGGTGTTCGCTTCCTGGAAAGGATACACCTAAACGGTAAACAAAAAAGAAAACAAATATATATATATATACACATATATATATATAGAACCATCATGGAAACAGATAGAAACCATGCAAATTTGCTTGTTTAATGCAATCTTAGGTTTTGCTCCAGTGGCTGTTCTTTGTTGCAACAGTTTCAGCGCCAAAATTCTAGGTGGTTTCGTGGGAGAAATCCATATAAATCCCCTCCTAGTTCCCCTCCTTGCAGCCTGGGAGGTTTGTTGCTGATAGCTGCTAGTCAGCTGCTAGTCTCTGCAGCGGTGACCAACTGGCTCGCACTACCGGCCCGCGCCAGTCGCTACGACCTGGCAAGTTCCACAACCTCCGTGGGGGCAGTTTCCAGTTTCATGCAACACACGCTCAAGCCAGCCTAAACCGCCGTTCGGTTCCAGGGGTGTTCCCCCCCATCTGCGGCAGAGTCAGGTCTTCGGAGCTGAAGGTCCTGGTTTTTTCCTTCACCCTTTTTGACCTGACGAGGTCGGTGCTTCGAGCATCGGAACCTCCGGAGACGAGCCGACCGAGGCTCCGAGCTATGGCAAATTGGAGGAAGGAGAGAGGCTGCCAGGGCCCCAGAACCGGAGCGCCGTCTTATACGGCGTTTGTTTTTTTGCTTTTAAAGCTCCGCCGGTCGGCGTGTTGGTGATCGGTGCTCAGTGTTGGTGTTCCCATCGTAGAGGATAATTTTTTTGAAGCTTTGGTGCGTGTTGATTGGGTCCAAAAATTATTCCCCGCACCTCCGCGGAGGAGATGTTGTTAAAGAACTGAGCGTGCAAAACTCTAGAGATTGATTTCACGAGTTTTTGATGTTGATAGATCAGTCAACAGCATGTACTGCAGTATGATGGGAGGGTGTGGGAGGCGACCAAGAGCTGTTTTGCATTTTCCCGATGAAGCCCTCCTATTAAGCTCACCCAGAACAAACGCATCTGAACTCAGCTCCGCGGAACGTAGATCAACCGCGGTGCGGGAGAGCTTGCCCATTGCGCGGGACGCAAGCGCGGTGGAGCGAAGCCGGTCAGGTATACAGCTTGGATCGCTTTGGCCGCTGCAGCTTGTGTCCCCAAAGGACGCGTTTTCACGCGCTCCACTGGGCGATTGGCACATGAATTCATAGAGAGGGACGGATTACCCAAAAAAGGATCAAAAAGGACAACGGTTGAAGAGAAAGGAGCTCCCACTGATTTTATGGGGGGTGTCGGTGTATATTCATCAAAGGTCAACATTTCTTGATGCATCATGGAGCAAGGACTCGATCTACATGTTGCAGGGTGTCCAGAGATTAGCCCCTGTTAGCACAAGAGGTTGTTCTTTGGGGTTATATATATATATATTGTGTGTGTGTGTTTTTTTTTCAAAGACTTCTTAAGCTATACATCAGTGTACGTTTGATTAGTCGTGGTTTTGCAGGCTAACCTGGAGATTGTACATGCTGCACCTACCGGGGTGCTTTCTCGAGTGATATAGAGTAATGTTGAGAAATAATTCCCTCAAGCTATGGACGGCCATTTGAGTTCTGGTTTGGTCCTTTGATCAATCCTTCGTAGTCTACGTTTGGTCCCTTGTGCAGTCAAGGCAAATATAGAGAGAAGGCATGAAAAGGCATGGCTACACACCGTGCGCATGTAGGCAATCCTGAAAGAAACCCTCGGCAGCTGATGTTGCGTAAATTTGCTGGAAGCCCATCCCATCCCATACCCAAACAAGTAGCGCGCAGGAAGCTACCTTTCACATGGCGGAAGGTTGGCGCAAGCAGTTGCATCAGCTAGGTGTTGCCAAGACGATGACCCTTTTGACACCTATGCCCTGGAAGATTCACATAGAACTTCCAAAACCACAGGCTATGAGGATGCTATGGTTGAAGGATAGTCGGCTAGTCTTCCGGAAGCAGGTCCATGCCGGTTTCATCGAAACCGCCATGCGAAACCGGCGGTTAGCCTTCCCAGGGCTTCTCCTGGTGGCGTGCCGCAGCCGAACCATGTCCGTCGTCAGGCATCGAGGATTCGTCATGCTCGGCGGGCCGGGTGGACGGTGCGGAATCGTTTGGAGGTGTCAGATGGACGTGAGGTTTCAGAACCCGGTTGGGGTGTCCTTCCCTAAGGATCCAGTCGTACCCTCTGAGAAGGTGGGACTGGGGTGGGTGCCAGGAGGGTTCAAGTACCTTTTGAGGAGGTACTTGGATTCCTAGGGCTTAGTTTTGGTAGGCACATTGGCCTGTTTGGTAGGCACATTGGCCCTTGCCATGGCGCCAATCGAGGAGCCACAAGCACTCGGTGTTTGAAGCGTTTTTTTGATATGGTTTGACCGGTGCCACTTCTAGAGGACGATCTACGAGACTCGGTGGGGTAAATGCATCTACTAGATTCGTTTTCATTGACACGCATGAGTGGCTGGCGATGTTTCTGGACACCACGATTGGAATGTAACTCTTGAAGAGGGCAATCCTATTTGTGATTGTGAGCCTCCAGAATCGGGACGTGTCTTTTGCCAGAAAAATCTCCAAGGAGCCTTGAATTGGGAGCCTTGCATATGGTGTGCTTTGTCCCCAAGCATCGAAAATCCAGGGTCAAAGATTCATGTGAGCGACTGCCGACTGACCACAAAAATGGTTGGTTGACTTAAAGGATAAATCATGTTAATTTATTGGGGGGCTACAGAAGTATGTTTTTTGTCCGCTGCTCATCCATATAGACCCCCAAACAGGCAGAAACGTAGATCCCCGCTAAAAATGTGTTGGAAACCGTTTCTATCTATTTGGAGGGGTCACTATATATAGTATAATATAATATAATATAATATAAAAAATATGTATATATATATATATCATATCTTCTTTTTAGGTCTATTCCTTCTCATCAGTGCCTGGCCTGTGCTGGTTTTTCTTATCACAGAAGAGATAGAATAGGAGTAATAGGAGACAACGACAACTCCACTTGGGCATATTCCTCGCCGCCAGCGATATTGCCAGATTCTACTCCAACATAGGCTCGTTGAAGTGCTCATTTTGGATGCATCGAAAGCACTAGCTGATCAGGTTGATGCGATGTATCAACATGGGCGTGTGGTTGGGGAGCCCAGTGTTCAGTGGGCCTGGACACCCCCAGCGGAGCCTCTAGGTTTCAGGTGTCAAGATGGTATCAGATGTATCAGATGTCCAGCATGCTTTTCCTGGAGCTGTTGTAATCATTGTGTTGTCTATATTCATATTTAACAGTGAAACCATGCTGAGGCCCACGCGGCCGGATCCTTGATTTGTGAAAGCCCCCTCTCGTCAAGCATAGTCAATCAACATTTAGAAAGGTCACCACAAAAAGAAAAAACAATTCCTTTGTATAGTTGATTTGTTCTAAAGGGATCCAAAACAAGCACCAAGAAGTCCTTTCCTTGTCAGTTTTCCTCAAATTCCCCCAATGCTGAACACAAGGAAATCTAAGGAGATCAAAGTAGATCAAAAGGAAACCACAGAATTTTGGTGGTTCCGTGTTGAATTTGATTTGAAGGGGAGGATGCTTGATAGCCTTTGGCTGTGTTTTGATGTCATTCTATGTCAGAACTTTGATAAAAGGGATCAGCTCAGAGTCGGAGGACGAAAGAGTGATACATAATTGGAAAACATTGAAAAAAACAGGATTCCAAGCAATAGAAAGCCCAAAGGAAACAGCATATAACTATACATCGTACATATATATATATATATTGTAGAAGGAACCTCAGTGGTGAGTTGAATTGAATGGACCAGGACAACTGCCCTTTGTTTTTTTTAGACCACTAGTCTATAAAACACAAATTCCGGAGTGCTGCGGGCAGCTTTTGGATATGTTCCTTGGTTCCCCCGAAGCACGTTTGCAAGATTTAACATTGATAAGTCAACATCCAACATGGCCCGCAAAAAGAACGAGACACATACTAACATACTGTATAGAGAATGCATATAGCGTGACCATATACAAGAAGCATTTGCATGATATTTATTCTCATCACAACCAATGTATATATTGGATAATATTGGATACATATCTGCAACATGTGTTGGTAAAAATGTAAACAAAAAACATCAATATACAAAACAAAACACAACAAACTTCAACAAACATACACAAATATCATTTTATACAAGATGAAATATAGACATCATTGCCCTGTGCCACAGGTCCGCTGGCCTCCGAGCACGCGTGGTGCACCGTGCCTCGTCGGTGCGAAAGAAGCACGGTTTACCCTTTTTGCTCACGTGACTCATGTCACAAGCGCTAGCAAATGGGAAACTCTGTTCCTGAAACCAAAATGCTGTTTTGTTATGTGTCCATTTCAGTCAGAGGAATACATCAAAAGCGCTAGCTGAGAGTGATGGCACTCGGAGCTTTTGGATGGTGAAGAACTCATGTTTAAATTGCCGGGCCTGCTGACGAACGCATCTTCCGGCTGTTGTCGGAGGGCCGGATCAAACACCATTGGGGTTGGCGTTGTTGTGGTTGGACACCTCATCGATTTTTTTTTGCCAGGGCACAAGTTGCATGAGTTGCATGTGCATGAATAGATTGGACGCATTTAGAATGCCGCCACACATTCAACCCCCCACATGTTGCACCACTACTTCTTGTCATCCTAACCCCTCACTCCACAGCGCGCAGCGCTCAGGCTCAGCACATGCTGGGCTTGACAGCCCCATCCACTTTGTCGGGGCACCCGGGACACCTGACATAAAGTGAAGCTCAATCGGCTGTTGATCGCGCGACATCTCTAAAAGTACTTGGGCCAATATCCAATTGCCAAAGCGTTTTCCCATACTAAGCATTACTCTAGATACATGGCTGCAGGGGCGGGATGTTCTTCCATTGAACGCATGTTGGGAAGTCATGTGTTTGAGGACTGTTGAAACTTACAACTCGTTTGATTCTGTTTGTTGTTGGGTGGCAGGACCATTTGAAGCTTCCTCAGCTTTATTGGGTGATGCTTTGTAGACTGAGGGCAGTTGCACTTTGCAAAGCGCACTGAGGCTTTGCAAGACACCAACCAGTTTCAGTTGGTGGCTCTTCGACTTGCAGCCTTATGACTCATATCATAACTGTAAATAGCACTGTAGTACATAGTTACGAAGCTTTCGCGCAAGCAGGTTGTCAAAGACGTGTGATTTGGCTTTGTGAAGGAGTGGCATAGCAATATAAAGGTGCTGCCAATGTGTCTCCCATCATTTTCTTGAGCAGAACCTTGGAGCGCTTGGAGGCTTTTTTGCTGTGTCGTGCTTGGCACGGCTCAACATGTTTTGTGTTTCATTTTTTGTTGACCAGATGTTTCCCAATCACGGCTTAAGACTCATGATTGCACAATACCAGGCATATGTTTGCAACATGACTGCTGTAGGATCCTTAGGGTTTGTGTTGCGAGCTGTCCTACAATTTCACCGAATGAGAAGGGTGACAGTAGCGCATGACATCGCTGGGGCCATGCGCCTGGTCTGCGCATGTTTCGCCCGCAGCGCTGGGAGGGCAAGGACAAGGAAGACGGCGCAAAGCTCATAGCAAAGAAGTGAGAATGTGTCGTCCGTGTTACGCAGCAAAAAAGAACAGTTTGAGCCCACCTGGAGGAAGTTGCAATTGAGACTGAATAGGCTCGGAGGTCTAAGGGTGAATATCAACATAGATTCATCGCAGGAGTTCTTTTAATGATGCCAAGCCGTCCGAGGTGCTACCCTCGGCCTTTTGAGAAGAAGAAGGAGCGACTGAGTTTTTGCACGCTGTAAAATTCAGTGCATTCCAGTGCCGAGATTGAATGCAAATAACCAAAAGCCATGTCGAAGGGAATGAGGCAAGCACCTCAACAACCGCCTTTGGGCGAATGAGTTTTGGACCTATGCCGGTATAAAGAGATTTTGATGTGGCACCGGTCCATGACTTTCTCCGCATCGCATCATCCTCAAGAGCACTGTGCTGCCCCACCGACACAGTGATCAGTCGGATCTTTGATTCGCCCATGTCGAAGGTCGCTGCGCTCAGCTTTGCCCTAGCCATCGACGCCGGTCATGGCTTTGTGGTCCCTGCTCGCACCAATGGCCAGGCAGAAGTATTCCGATTGATTGATAAGGTTAACATAGGGCAACTAGAAGCACATTTTGGAGCGGTCTTCAATAACATATTGAAGTCAACACTTTTTGAGATCAGCAGACGGCACAGATTGAAAAAGAACGATTGAGCCCCTCCAGGCGTCCGCCGCAGCCGCCTCACAGACGGCAGCTGCGACAGCAACATCCCCGGCACCTGCGATGGGAGACGCCACCATCTATGGCACCGCAATG